ACACAGAAATATCTGATCACAAAATGATAACAGTATTTATACAAAATACGCCGAGAATCAAACCAAAAATGCATAAAATAATTAGATATAGCATAGATTTAGAAGGATTAGAAAAGACAATAACTTGTAAGTTAGACTCTAAAATAGTGGACCAATTAGAGGATTTAATAAAAATTATACAAGATGCAGCAAAAGAAAATAAAATCAAAGAAACAATAAGAGCCAGAGAAGATACCTGGATAACAGAAGAAATTATTAACTTAATGAAATACAGAAACAAATTCTACAATAATTTAAAGAAATGCAATATAAATGAAGTAAGCAAACATAATGCCATAAAAATGAAATATAATAATATAAAAAAAGATATAAAAAATATGATCTACAAAGCAAAAAGACAATACTATTCAGAAGAAACAAAAAAATGTGAAAGTGACTCTCGAAAAATATGGGAACTAATAAATAAAACATTAGGAGGAGGAAAAAATAAAAATGAATATAAAGAAAATATTGAAAAAATACAGCATAAAGATAAAAATATATTTCTTACAGAAAAGGAAGACATTGCGGAGTATCTCAACAAACATTTTGCTGAAATAGGTATGAAACTACAAAAGAAAATGGATCATTGCAACTATAAACCATCAATACACAGACCTAAAAACAAAATCCAAATTTTTGAATTAACAGATGAGAAAGAAATAAAAAAAATTGTTGAAAATCTGAAAAATAACGCTGCACCTGGCGAAGACAAGATAACAGCAAGAATCACTAAAAAAATAATAAATATAATAGCTCCACTACTTGCTGTTTTAATGAATAGATACATAGAATGTGGTGTATTTCCATCGTGTCTTAAAATGGCTACAATAAAACCAATTTTCAAAACAGGAAACAAAACAGATCCAAATAACTACAGACCTATAACAATAACAAACACATTCTCCAAGATATATGAAAAAGTAATAAAAAAAAGATTACTTGATTTTCTCATTCAAAAAATTGACAAAAATCAATATGGTTTCCTCCCTTCATCAAATACACAAGGTGCCCTAATAGATTTGACTAATACCATCAGTCAGCACCTTGAGGAAAATATGCACACAGTTGCAATTTTTATTGATTTACAAAAAGCTTTCGATACAGTAGATCATGGCATATTACTTAATAAACTAATAGATTTAGGTGTAGAGGGTTTGTCTTACAGCATTATCAAAGATTTCCTCATGAAAAGAGTGGTAAGGACGAAGGTGGGAAATTTCACAAGTGGAGGATGTAACATAACCTGTGGAGTTCCACAAGGTTCTGTATTAGGACCTTTATTGTATCTATTATACACCAATAACCTTAAAGACGCAAAATTAAAGGGAAGATACATATTATATGCAGACGATACAGCGATAGTATATGCGGATAAGGATAAAAAAAGACTCGAAGATATTATAAACACGGACATGAAAATATACACCGAGTGGCTAACTGAAAATAAACTAACAATTAACATAGATAAAACAAAATACATATATTTCAAACATAGAAAAAATACTGAGAACACTAAACTAAAAATTGAAGTAAATAATAGAGCAATAGAGGAAGTGGAAAGCATAAAATACTTAGGACTGATAATAAATGAAAAACTGACATGGACAGACCATATAAACAAAATAAAAAGAAAGATAGGAACATTAACAGGGGCATTGAAAAGGATCCACTCTTTCGGCAAAAAAAATAAAATACTAATTCTTAAAACGCAAATAATACCTATAATTTTATATGGCATAACAACATGGAGCCAAACAACTAAAGCAAACCTAAATGACATACAGAGAATAATGAATAAAGCCATAAAAATAGCATATAATTTACCACATCTAACACCCACCAAATACTTGCAGAGAGAAACAAATAATCATTCACTAAATAACATAATTAAAATAGAGAAATGCAAACTAATACACAAAATGAAATTTAACCGAATTAAAACAAGTGCAACAATAGACACAAATCAAGATATACATGAACACTACACGAGACAACACAACAATTTTCACATTGAACGCAATAGAAAAAAGAATTTGAGAGAAAATGTCATATGGAGTGCTACCAAAATATATAACGAATTGCCAGACTATATTAAGATGACCAATGATAATGATAATTTTAAAAGAAAAATAAAGAAGTACTATATGGAAATTGAAGAAAAAGAAGACTGAAGAGTTATATATAGATATTATATTAATGAAATAGATATTATAGTCAAATGAAATGTAAATATTATATGAAAACTGTTTTTCATAATCTCTCATACCAGGCACCTCTGTCTGACTGAGATATGAAAATAATGTATATATGTAAATAAATAAATAAATAAATAAAATAAAAACAACTGTCAATTTTGACGTTTGACGTTTGACATTTGTTTGACGTTTAATCTTAAACAATATAACTCAATTTTGGCATTTGTTTAATGTAACAAATTCGTGTATTAATCATTATTTTGGACCTGAATGAATATCACAATGTGTTGAAACAAATATCTGTTTAGAATTATGCCCAACAGTTTGCCAAAATATTTATAAATACATAAACATGAATCACTTTGCCTTAAAATTAAAATATAAAACATTTGTTTGGTACTTACCTAGAACATATTTTCACACAAAACACACTTTAACTTTAAATCTATTTAAATGTATGACAAATGACAATTATTATTACGATAAAGACACTTGTTGAACCAAGTCTCAGACAGAACTGACTGTTGATTTATTTTAAAAATATTTACAACACAAAATTAGCCATAGAGCATAGAACATGTATTTATATAGACTGATAACACAGTTTTTAATATCAACATTTTAGCAGCAGTTTAGTTTTCTTTCTATTTTTATTATCTGAATTGTTTTTATCAATTACATACAAAGAAAATTAAATAATAAAACAACATTTGTAAATTTCAATACGCACATAAATTTATTTCATCCAAATTACACAAATGAAATAAAGATAATAATTACTAATTAAATAAAATATACAAAATATTCCTAACATCCCTCTCGACATGGATTACTTACATGCAAAAATGTATATGATAGAAAAATTATTTAAATTCGCAATAATAACAACAAGTTTATGATTGAATAAATAAAAGTAATAAATTGATACAAGTATATATACACATTTACATTATTTGATTTTTTGCACAAAGTGCATAATTCACTTCTTCAAGTGTTTTCTTTACAAAACCAGCTACGAATTTGTGTTTTTGATAAAAACCCTCATAATAGCATTTTATTCAATTTTTTTCATATACATATATACAGTTGAACTCCAATTATCCGAATTAATGGCGACCGGGACCCATTCGGATAATCAAATATTCGGATAATCGGAGTTTGTTTTTAAAATTGCCATTGGAGAGAAAAAAAAGTTACGTTTTGATATTGCACTATTTTTTTATTGAATTAAATGAAAGAAATATGACATTTTCACATGTTTTAAATATAAATAAAATGTACTTATGTACAAGTTTAGAAATAAAAATCATTGTTTTGTAAACATCTCCGTCAAATCAAAACAAACAATGTGCCTACACTGGCTTTGCTGGTGGAAGAATAATAGCGCACTTAGACTTTTTTTGGACAATTTTTTTTCTGAAATTTCAGAAATGCCTTCATGAATGCAGTACAGGCTGTTAAGATGAGGAATGATGAACTGGGAAAAAATAATTAATATTAATATATAAAGGATTAAGGATAAATGATGACTTTAATGTGTTTTATACATTATGATATTATTAAATATTATACCATACAATATTATTGCAATTTTTTATATTTCTTTAACATATAGTTTATACAATTTTTTATAATTCTTTGAGAAGTTTATATTACAGAACTTGGGAAATGTCCAAGATCACTCACCTTCAGAACACGCATTCGCGTTCAAAATCAAGTCACATATTGAATGACAGTTTATTCAAAATCTCTCCATAACAATGTATATATTGTTTGATACAGTTTTATACACAATTTTATCTAGTTTTTAGAAATAAATAAAACTGTAAAAGTGCGCAAGACCGCAATGTTAAAAATCAAATCATATATTGATAGAAGTTTTATACATTTTTTTCCATAACAATGTATGTATTGTTTGATACAGTTTTATAGATAATTTTATCTAGTTTTTATAAATACCTGAATTTTCATGAATCTTCTTGTAAACTTCTGATATATTAGCAAAACACTGTAAAAATGTCCGAGATCGCTCACGTTCAGAACACGAAGTTAAGTTAAAATCAAATCATACATTCAAGGCAATATTATTTAAAATTTTCCCATAACAATATATATCGCGAGATCGCTCACTCGAATCCAATTTCAAACTAAATGACATATCGATTTAATACGATTTTATAGACAATTTTATCTAGCAATATATAATTTACTCTAAACATTCTTGTAAACTTTTGAGATATTTGCTAGAAACTGTAAAAATGTCCGAGTTTACTCACACAAATTCAAATTCAAACTAAATTACACATTCAAAGAGGTTTTGTACAAAATCTTTCCATAACAATGTACATATCGTTTAATACGATTTTAAAGAGAATTTTATCTAGTTTTCATAGATATATAATTTTATATAAACGTTTTTGCAAACTTTTCAGATATTTGTAAAAAACTGCAAAAGTGCAATTCAAACTAGCAATTCACTAATAGTATTGCATACTGAATAACTAACAAAGAATAATTTATACTGAAATTTATTAAATTTTCATTTGTTTTTGCTAATGTAAATATCAAAAATCATCCAGAATTAAATTTTCAACTTATTTTGCAAAATATTATTCACTCAGGTCATTCAAAATTCTTTAAAAATAAAATTTATACTGAAAATTTCAACAAAACAAAACAAATTAATTATAAAATCTAAATTTTATATAATTAACATCCAACATTTACAAAATATATACAACTTAACAAAACAAATACAAAAAATACACTTTAACACTATTCGACCATCTTTCATATTTTCATATCAATCAATTCTGTTTTCCCAATTCATCGTTCCTCATCTTAGCAGCCTGTACGGCATTCATGAAGGCATTCCTGACACCACTTTTTTCCAACTCGTGTACACCTGCAATTGTGGACCCACCTGGTGAACAGACTTCGTCTTTCAGAAGACCAGGATGCTTTCCAGTCTTCAGCACCATTTGTGCAGCTCCGAGGACTGTTTGGGCTGCAAATTGATTGGCCAAATGTCTTGGGATTCCCATTTTTACTCCGCCGTCTGCTAGGGCTTCTATCACCTAATAAAGGACACAGGGGTAAAAGGTAAAAGATATATATATATATATATATATATATATATATTAGGGTGGTCCTTAAAATGGTCATTTTCGAATTTTATTGCTCCCAAAGGCTCAAATGGTTCCAAATTGATAAAAAACAATTCTCTGAAAGTTTTAGCTCTAAAAATTAACGTTTAGATAGAGCGCAATTCCATCAAAGTTTGTATGGAAAGAGCATGGAAAAAAATTTGAAAATTAAAAAAACGTGTTTTAGGCGTAACTTAGCGACAAATGAATGAGTTTTATTCATTCATTTGTTCGATAAATTACATCTAAAAACATTTTTAAACTTTTTGAAAATTTTTCCATGCTATTTCCATATAAAACTTTGATTGAATTGCGCTCTATCTAAACGTTAATATTAAGAGCTAAAACTTTCAGAGAATTGTTTTTTATCAATTTGGAACCATTTGAGCCTTTGGGAGCAATAAAATTCGAAAATGACCATTTTAAGGACCACCCTAATATATATATATATATATATATATATATATAAATATTTATTTATTTATTTATTTATTTATTTAAATATATAGCCCACAGATTTCTTCAAGAGGACTCAAAAATACAATTATTTTACATAATGAATAACAATTAAAATGTATACAAAATTACAATATATAGTTATTAACATAAAATTACATATAATTCAGAATGTAACAATATTATTTATAAACAGAATAAGATAAAATAATGATATAATTGAAAAGAAAATAAAAAGGTTAACTTGTGCAGATGGATATTATTTGATTAGGTGAAGTGTTGTGAATATCTATTTCATTATTAATTAAGTTAAAGTTAGAGGACATAAGTAAAATAGGCGAATTTAAGAGAGAATTAGATTCAGGAGTAGGATAATTGAAAAATAATTGTGAACGCGTAGATAAGCCTTGGATAGTTGATTGAGAATAAGAGGACAGTCTATAGAATTATTGCAAAGCTTAAATAAGAACATAATTGTACAGATAAATCGACGTGAGGCAAGGGAAGGAATACCAAATTCTTTTAGTAAAGTGTTGTGGTCAAAGCCACGTTCAGGGTAAATTTTATATGTTTTATAATAAAGGTATTTCAGAAATTTTTGCTGAACCTTCTCTATCGCATCAGAGTTGTTGATATGATGAGGATACCAAATAATCGAACCGCATTCTAATTTTGAACGTACAATAGAATAGTACATGCAAAGAAGTGCATTGGTAGACTTAAATTGTTTACAATTTCTTAGTATCAAACCTAAAGATTGATGTGCTCTATTACAAATATCAGTTACATGATCTGTGAAAAACAAACCAGAATCAAATAGAACACCTAAATCGGAAATTTTATTACATCTATCAATGCTGGTGTTAGAAATTTTATAATCAAAAAGTATTGGAACGCGCTTATGTGTAAAACTAAGAATCTTGCACTTTGATATATTTAGATGTAGTTTGTTATAGATACACCAAGATTGGAAAAGGTCAAGTTGAGACTGTAATAATAAGCAGTCATCAATAGAATTTAATTTGAGATATAGTTTCAGATCATCTGCAAATAATAAATGTGGACAGTTAATAGTATCAGAAATATCATTAATAAAAATAATAAATAGTAGTGGACCAAGAATGGATCCCTGAGGAACTCCTGAACTAATATTTTCAATGTTGCTCAAGAATCCATTAAGATAGACAAACTGTTTGCGATTATGAAGATAACTCTTAAAAAAGTGAATAAGTGAAGAATTAAGACCAATATTAGATAATTTAGTAAGAAGAATGTTATGATCAATTTTGTCAAAAGCTTTACTGAAATCAGTGTAAATAACATCCGCTTGTCCATTAGTGTCAAGATTCTCAGCTATATATTGTTTAATACAAATGAAATTTGTTATCGTAGAACGGGCAGGCATGAAACCATGTTGATTAATAGAAATTAAAGTTCTAACAGAAGGAATTAGTTCTCTATAAATAATTTTTTCAAATACCTTAGCAAAGTTTGATAATAATGATATCGTCCTGTAATTAGTAATGTTTGATGTATCACCTTGTTTAAAAGTTGGTACTAATTGTGCAATTTTCCAACAATTTGGAAAAGTGTTTGTACGCAAAGATAGATTAAATAAAAATGCAAGTGGATCAGATAGAGTAGATGAGCAATCACGTATA